GAGAAGTTGCTGAGAAAATTTGAAAAAGTCAAGGTAAAGATAACATTTGCCATTCAGCTGTCTATGCTTTCTCACTGTGTGCACCTGGTACGTCCCATAAAGAGTGAAACTGTAGATAATAGTCCTAATAAATAAAATATGTAGATGTCACGAGAAGGTACTACCCTCATTTGCTAATTTATAACCAGAAGTCAAATCGTTAATTTTAACACTGTCAGGGAATTTCAAAAGCTGACATTTCAAGCATTAAGCTCTTTGTCAGAGCAAAGTGAGCCTTTGCAGGTTATTTTTAAATTTGACTTTGATCACAGTTCATACATAGTTTAAAACATCTAGGTAGGTTTTACACTGTACTTCCTTGAAGACCCTACAGAACAGGTTCTTTAAAAACTATCAATGAATGGTAACATTGCTCAGCTTCTCAATTTGCTGGTCTTGTTGTTTTCTGTGGGTCATAAACATGTTGCCTTTATGTGGACTGATAAATAAAAAGTTGCTTTGAAAGTAAAAACTCTATACAAACAACTTCTCTCTGAAAGCACAAGTGAATGATGAAAAAAACAAGACATTTGAAGATATATATCTGTCAATAACATGCTGCGTATGGGAGATATCATGCAGTAACTTCAATTCAATTGACGGACCTTATCACAAAATTTTTCTTATGATTAATTATGCTTAAGGTGGTAAATTTTTCAAGTGCCTTCATAATTTTTGCCAGGAAGCTATAGAAACTTACCAGTTGGAAGAAGGACAGACAGAAGAAGGAAACAAGAATGAAGAAGAAGATGGTGATGATGATGGAATGTGTGATGTTGGTGATGGGTTTTCTCTAGCATCCGAGATTTATAAGTCATTGTATCAATACCAATTGGAGGGCATCCTTCGGTTCTGGAGGTTGTTTAAGAAAGGGATCGGAGGCATCCTTGCTGATGACATGGGGTGAGAACAATACTATAGTGTGTACAATGATGTGTTTATTAAGGTGGCCGAACACAGTTTTCAAGCACGCTTTTGCTGATGCAATTCAGCACGTGCACAAGGATTGCAAAAGACAAACATGCCGTCAATAGTGATCATTTTATTTACTCAACACCCGCATTATCTGTGCTATTTTTCTCTATAATTGAACGCAGTGTATTGATTGCTTTAGTCTTTTAACACAAAGATATGTTAGAAAAGGTAACGATGCAAAGAACCCAGCAATTCTAAGCTTTTTCTTTGTTACCGAAAGAACCCAGTTAAATGCAATGCATGCGTAGTAAGTCAAAAAATTGCAATTGAAAGAAAAATTGCACTCTCAGAAATACGCCTATTTCTCAAGAACCACTCATTAGAATTTCACAAAATTTGGCACGAAAATACTTTAGGAATTAAATAACTGGAGTATTGAAAATAATTGAACTTTAACAAAGGAAATTCTAGATATTCCAGTAAACCTTCAACAA